CTTTAAGTAATTTTTTTTACTCACAATTATTGTTTTTTTTTTTAGAAATTTATATTTTCCTAGTTCACACTCATATATTGTTATAAATATTATAATTTATAATATTTATAGCATAACTTAACATAAGTTTTCCCTTATCCAAGGCTGCTCACAGAAATATCAACCCAACCGGATGGATGACTAAGTTCAAAATTATACCCATTATTGATGTAAAAAAACATAATTTATAAGTTCCTTATCATTAATTTTTAAATATTATTACTAAAAAGACAGACATACTTCGCACGATGGGTGTAGCCACTGTTGTTAGTGAGAAATCGGGAAGGTAGAATATAGAAGGGAAATTAATTTGCATATAATAATTTGCACGATAAATCATTCCTTACTAAAAACGATTCTGAGCAGAGTTCAGTTGATAGTGATGCTTTGTCAACAAAATATATGTGATATATTATGGTAAACAGAGTCGGTCTGACCCACCCGGATACCTGGCAATCGCCGAGGGCCTTGAGATTTATTTATAAAATAGGGGTCCCATGTGATCACGCCAATAGCAGAATTGATATAAATTATTTTTTCAATTTATTGTAAAAAAAAGACATATTTCGTACGATGGGTAGGCCACTAATGTGTATATGTAGTAGGGGTAAAAAATTAAAAATAGTTTTAAAATAAAACTTAAACGATTCCATAATAATTAAAAAAAATAAACAGAAATCAAATTCATTTAAAATCCTTTGAGATAATTGCTGGTTCGTGGTAAAAAAATCACTCTGTGTACATTATATGTTGTACAATAAGTTACTAAAAATAAATATCAAACAAAAATTTCGTCTCAAATCACTTTAATAAATTATATTTATTATGTTTTCAATATAAATAATAACTATTATTTTTGATCGAAAAGCGTTGTCTCAAATTTTTCTGGTAGGATTTACTTTAAAATATATATATATAATATATTTAGCATTAGTATCCCGAAGAAGTTCGAAGATAAAGGTGGAACCTCTCTTTCTCCAGAGACGACAATAAACTGAAGATTGAAGCAGTGGGCACTGACTAGACTGGCCAACCTGGAGATCACTTAATTGACTCACAGTATGTGTAGGCAGATATAAAAACAACCTTAAGAAATGGAGTATCCTTCAAGACAACTCCATAAGATCTGAGTGCGGTACGGAACAGCTGTATAGAAGCTATAGAACACTTATTGAACTGCCAAAGTTGCCCATCTCTCTGTCCGCAGGAGATCTACTAATAGCAATTCCAAATGCTGTCGAAATGGCAAGATTCTGGTAAAGGGTAATCTAACAAAAAAACAATCAACATACCAAAACATTTTAATAATTATGTTACCATAAAGTTATTTCCTTTTCATATTGTATTAATTTACTTATTTATTTTATTTTATGTTATGTTGTTTTATTTTATTTTGTTTATTTATATTTATGTAGACCCTCAATTGTACTTATTTATTTTATTTCTGCAATTATGACCTTTCGCCATTTTTTATAAAATCTTATTGTGGTTGTATGATATGAACATTTGTTTTAGCATTTATGCTATTTGACGAATTTTGTTTTTAAAACGAGTGTTTTTATAATACTTATACATAATAAATTAAACGTACAACTCCAGTGAATACATAATTATATTATTCGTATAATTTAAAAAGTTTATTTTTACCGAAAAACAACTTTCATTCGATAAAAAAAATAATATATTCGTCACGTCGATTTTATCCGAACGATACATGAATATTACATGTAATATTTTAATATTTTTACGTCTGCTTCCGGTCGAAATCTTATGTTAATTATAAAGTATCGAACATCAGCCGACTTTATGCGATTCTTTTAATCAAATTATAACTTGCATTTTTTATAAATCAAAACAAATTAGTATAAGCAGTGGTAGAGGGAGCCAATGAACTATGATCCAGTCCTATTAGACATATTTTTTTACTTATAACGTAAAACTTTTTAAAAATCACCACAGTGCCTCTTTTTAATTTGTTGAATATTGGCGTGTTATAATTTAAATGATATATATAAACATAAGTATATGCCTATTTAAGAACGGTGGTGAAGTCAGAATTAAGCAGCCTGACTAAGTTTCGAAATTATAGCTTTTTGAAATTCCGTTACTACGCGGATACTGTATGTTAAATAACTTTATATTGTTCTTAAAGCATATTTATCTAATGGTTATTTATACCTATTATCATCCTAGGAGTTCCAAGTTCAAACCAGTTTGACGAAAACAATTTTATTTACCTAAACAAGGAAAAAACAAATGCATTTTGGATGTACCTAGAGACTCAAGCCATCGCTCCCTTGGACTTAAAATAGTCCATTATTTTGCGATTAAAATATCGCAAAATACCTCTCTTATATACCAGAAATCTTGCTCCGATGTATCTAGTGTAGCTTATTTTCTGAAAAGAAATTTTATTTCTATGATAATTTAGAGAAGTCGTTTATTAATTTTTCAAGCGGTTTTCATAATATCTAAAAAAAATCTGGATAAAAGGTCGGGAAAACGTAAAATCTACGAAATTTAGATATTAGTAAAAAAATATTATTGCCTTTTTTTTCTGTGTATAACTTTGTCACCAGAAATTTTACTCTGATTTAAAATGATAGCACTTTTTATGAAAGGAAAACTGAATGGGAAGATACTTTAGGGAGGTAATATTTCGATTTTCCCAGGAGTTTTCCTAATAAATGGGAAAAATCCGGAAAAACATGGGAAAATCGGTATAATATTAATTAAATATTATTAAAGAAAATATATAATGCTTATTTAATCATGTTACCATAATATGACATATATATTGTTGACAAAGCATCACTATCAACTGAACTGAAAAATCGCTCAGAATCTTTTTTCGTTAGCAATGGTTTATCGTTGCTTAAAGATATACATTAAAGTACCTATAACAGTGACTACGCCCAACTCCATTGTTCTAGGACGCCTTTTTGAAATTTTCGCCTTTTCGATTTTTATAACGAATTTTCTTTTTTTGGCACCAAAGCGTATACTTATGTATTGTTGTTTTGTTAGATTGTTATCTATCAAAAACGCCATAGCTTAAACTGAAATATAGAAAATTATACAGTTATTGTTAAATACTTTATAAGATGTTTTAATTTTTTTGCCCTACTGGGTCATGACGACAAATCTTTAAGTAGTTAAACCACATTTCTTTGACTAGACATAAACATTTTTTTTTTTTTTTTAAGCAGCACATCAAATTTCCGGAGAAGTTATATGGAAAAAGTTATTATATATTCGATTTTACATGCCTGTGATCTCTCCGACGATAATAAAAACGAAATTGGTGGCCAGCCTTTATTTCCAGTAGACGCCAGAAAAAAAAATTTATTTTTTATCAACCAATTTTTTTACCATTTAGCATTATTTTTCATTAATTAATTATAGTTTATACTTATTTTGGACTATTTGTGTACTACTATTAAACAAAATTTTCTGACTTCTCTTTCAACGCTTTTAACATATGAAGAACTCCGACTCGAACTATTTAATTTTTGTTTCAAAAAAATAGAATATAATTTCCTTTCATTAACGCTAATAATACTGTATACTGTATACAGTAATTACTTTGTCAAATAATTTCAACAATATCACGATTCAAAATTATAATATCATCACTTTGAAAAGTGGCATTGTCTAAAAAAAAACCTACATAATATTACACATGTTAATTATAGACTATAAAAGTTATATTATGTTTCTAACAAAAAAAAATTATTATACATTTCATAATAAATAAATAATATTTTTTAAAAAATTACCATTCAATTATATGTCCATTGTGAAAAAAATAATTTAATTTAACTAAATATATGCGAAGAAAAAAGTACAACAAATTGAATGAGGGGAGCTGGGAACATGTACGTCATTGACATATAATCACAAAAATGTAACCATTGTAATATAATTATTTTAAATAACATTAAAATGAAAAAATAAACGAAACATGATTTGTATCTAGTAAATAGTAGGTATTTAGAATCTTCACAAAAAAAAAGATACACCACAAAAAAGGTATCTAGATACAATTAATTAACTTCAAAAGATTCAAGATACAAACATATCTAAGATACGTATCTTAGATACTGCCCGTTCCTGATCCCAACTTTTTGGGATCAGCCATCCTCGTATTATTTTTAATTTTTAATAATTAAATAAAATGATAATACTTTTGCAATAAAAATGTATGGGTTGGTCGTGGTTTCAATCCATTCATTATCATCATAGTATGTACCTATATTTTTTAACCAGAAATACTTTCACTGCAATGTATGAAATTGTTTGCTTTATAATCAACTAAATTGATACAAGTATTATGTTTTTGATAAAAATAAATGTCGTGTTAAACTTCGTACTTTAATTTTAAGCTAGGATGTTAGAAAACTCAAATATAATAATTTAATTTTATATTAATATAAAAATCTCGTTAATTCGGAATATCGATATTTGTGCGTTGACGTAAGAACAATATATGTTTTATGTTGTTTCTTTTATTAAAGGTAACAGTTTCGGGTCTAAACGATTATTTTTCATTGAACAGCAAAACAAAATTTTCTCCATTATTAAGAAACTTATAAGGAAAATAATATGACTCACTCCTCTACCAAAAACAACTTCTGATGTTGATTATCGGAACAAGATTTCTAATATACTAAAGTTATTAACAGACAGAAAAAATGCCTACTTACGTATATATATTATGCCCATCAATCACCATAGTAAACTATAAATTAAAAATACTACGTTCAGAATCTAAAACGTATTTTTTCGAAAAAATCCCACATACCTACACCTATTGGCTATCATGTATAGCGACCGAAACTAAATCTGTTTTTTTAATTTTCTTTATATCCACAGGTGATGCCGATGTCGTTTACCAGACGCTAAACTAACCTAGTTTACCCTCCCCCCTCCCGTCGGCGGTGGCGGCTCCGAAGACAACGATGTACGACGACGAAAACGACGGCGGACCGCGAACTGTGCGACACCACGGTAAACACCATAAAATGGCACCGCCAAACCGATGGCCCGGTGCCGCGGACGGTCTTCCGGGTGGCGGTGATATGATCGTGCATCATCATGGTCGCCACGAAATGCTCGCCGACAACCTCAACGACACATCGGCAGGAACGCCGCCGCCACCACACGTCCTGCACGCCACGTCGGTCAGCATGTGTTATACGACCAACGAAGTATTAGTCATTATCGCCGTCACGTGTTTCCTGAACTTTGCGTTCATACTACTTATAATGACGTGTGTGCACTGCTTCACGGACCCGTCACATCACAAAAAGTAAAAATACGACTTTTTTCCCATACTTTGTTCTAGTCTCCCTCCCACCTGGCGCTCTACCTATTTAAGCGTATAACGTTAGTACCAATAATACTGACCACGAACCGTACCGTTTTTATACGTTGATTTATAAAAAACTAAAAGTTAATGATTTTAGGTATATTTTAAATTTTAATATTCTAGTTGAAGTTTATAAAAATAAACATTTAATTATCTTCTTAGACCATGATCATGTACAAGATACAAAAATAATATTTGTTTTATATAATGGTCTAAACTATATGCCAAACTTTAAATTTTTAACTTTAACCATTTATTACTATTAGTAGCTTTAAATACCACCTATTTATAGTTTTTCTTCTATTTTAACCTTTTTTCTAGTTTTAATATTGTATACTATATTTTTATATTCTAATATTAATTATCATAACATGTTATTTATGTAGGTACAATTGTAATTGTTAAGGATCACTCCCCCAGAACATGCTTGACTTATAGAAGTTGCTGCAATTTAATTTATGTGTAGTATCTATTAAATTTATCACCTGTTATTTTTTACAAAATGCATATTAAATAAATAAATAAATATTCATAGGTTCGGGGCTGTTGCGTACGCTGAGCTAGGTGACGAGCTGTTCGATGGGGACATGGTGGACGCAGACACGGTAACGCTGTTGAACCCGACGAAACCACCGCCGGGTCAAGACGACGACTGTGGCTTACCGCCGTACGACCGCAAAATAGCCGCCGAGTACGACGCCGAATCGTGTGCGTCCTACCAAAGCCTGGTCCGTCACGAACACCGGTACAAGTCCAACCGGAGATCCGAAGAGGAACTGTTCCTGTTCGAATGACCCCGACGGCCGGTCGTCGTCAACTCCGACCGGCGGTGTTCGTACAGGATCCGATACGTCGCCCCAACAAATTACGCCGCCGATAAGACGACAGCCTACAAAAACACGTCCCTTTGAAGATTATATATAACTATGTGGCGTACTCTTGTGCCCCACCCCCGTAGCGCGCGTTTTTCCCGCGCGCTCATGTCATCACCCTTCCCGAAAATCAGAGATTTTCAAAAAGTCTAAATACCGTTACATGTCGGTTTTTTCATTAGAGACGTACTGTGGAGAAAAAAATAATGATACTTATTCGATGAGTTTATAGTATTTGGTTCAAAACATATCGGTGTAACGTTCCAAATAATTCTGTCTCTCGATAATTAAAAAAAAAAAATTAATTGCAAAAAAATATTTATACAAATTAGTTTAAATCAACCCTAATTCTTGATTCATAATAAATGGGTATAAGGTTATCAATCAATCAAATGATACATTATTTCGGAAAGTATTAAATTAAGTTAGTTTTTTTTTAAATTAAGATACGCATCTCTAATATAGTAGGTATATTTCTTATTTTATTTTTCCTCGTGTTTACAGGTGAAAACACTACCGACGAAAAGTAAACTATGGTCGTAATTTAGTATCAATGTTATTATATTGTCAAAAAGTGTAGTATTTGAATATTAAAATGTAAAGTTGGAATATGAATAATACCGTGTAGAGCGACGGAAGATTTTCTCAGTCCTCTAAATTAACAGGATACATAAATGGTCTGGTGAAGGAAAAAATTAACCTGATTTTAATGTCGTCCATCATCCTTATTGATAAACTAAAATAACGTCTCTGCCGACAATGGAAATTTAAAAGCCGGATCCAAAAAAGCCAATTTTTACTGAACAAATAAAGTCTTTCCTTGTAACTTATCTGAAATGTATATGTTTCCTGATTAAATAACAAAATTAGGTTATTCATAGCTGTATTTTTAAGCCATTGGGAAGAGTATAACTCTAACCTCCCCCTGCACAACAACTATTACAGACTGGTCGCCAGAACAAAAGCCGTTACGAAGATATACAAGCCTATTACTATAAACATAAATAGACATTTTTCCGTTTTTCAGATAATTTTTCGTCCAAGTTTTCGGATATTTATTTTTCCGCGATTTACAAATCATCTCACCATCTTTTCTATAACCCTCTAAGTGTCCAGTAGGTTATGAAAAAGATTCGATTAAAGAACGTTATCGCCAAGGGCTCCGGGCAAACACAGTTTTTTTCTAAAACGTTGTTTTCGTTGTGTATTTTTCCTACACTTTAAAACTTTAACCAAGTTACGATAGTTTTAAAAAGATACAAACTAAATTAAACTATTGATATTAACGCGTCCTTATATCGCCGTTGTATCTAAACCGTCATCTATATATCAGTCTGTATATCATGTCACAAATATGTTTACATTTTACAGCTGCAATCACAATATATAATAATACATAATATACGCAATAATTATGTACATCATAATATATCTGAAATATACGAAATATCGTATATATAATGTTATTAAGTACAATCTAGAACTTTTAAACAGAAATATACAAAAATGTTTCAGGATAGTATGATACATTGTCTTAATAGGTACTAATCGAAATAATGATTTTGTTATAAACGGCGGTTTGACGTTTTTCATCCTCAAGTAACTATAGTTTATTAGGTAGGTAACTGCTGTAATCTTATGGTGTGTCTATATATGCAAATATGAGGTAATATGTTAGTGTGTTACTGAAGAAATTAAAACTACGTTAACTAGAGAGACTCATCTCATCCCTTGCATCGTTCTCATAGTGTCTATGTATAGCATCTTCTAGTTTTTACTAAACATATAAAAATATAGTAGACCATTTTGTGTTACTTTTGTTTTTCTCTCTGTTGACCGTGAACGTACCTATATATCCACTGGTCACCGGCATTTATTACCGTAAACTGAAAACTACATATATTAGTTCGAGATTAACGCAATACCTATTATAAATGTAATACTTAGCAATTTCATCATTGTATCTTCAAAAATAATATTATAGGTAAATTTAAAATAATGATTATCATAATGTGACTTTTGGAGGAATACAATTATATAATATTATGTTGATATATATTATTATTATTAATGTAGTTAAGATGGTGTATTATAATAAAGTGAATATCAATTATTATGTACAACACAACTTACTCAACAAATTAATTACTCCTACACCTCCCAATACTTTTATACTTTTATAATCAATATGAATCTTAGATGAACAGCTGTATCAGCCTACTATTATAGTTATGCATCATTTGAATTATCAACATGCATCACTAGAACAGTCAATTGTTAAATAATAATATATTTTCCCATATTTTAATTGAAATATTAAATACTCATCATCCTTATTCCTATGAGATTGTTCTAAAAATTAATTATAATAGGATTGTACCTAAATTTAAAATAGTATTTGGGAAACTATTATAATTATTATAATTATTATATCGTCTAGAGGCGACAGGCAATTTGTATTAAGTTAATAAAATATTGATACAAGTGGTTACAAAATATACATACAAGTACAATTAATATTAATTTAAAAATTGAATGATTAGCTAGACATAGTATCCTATTTTTTTTTCAAATGGCAAATATGAAACAGAATAATAATAATATAATAAATAATGCCTAAATAGTAAAAAATAACAATAACAATAATGATAAAAATAAAAGTCAATAAAAACGGTTAAAAAAAAAAAACAAAGTCAAACATTATGAATGATAAGATTTATAAAAAAAAAAAAAAAATTGATAATTGATTACTAAGTTACTGATTACTAGTTAATTACTAAGCAAGGGTCTAAATTGCTTAGCCATTCTCTAGATTCTTGTCAATCCTCATCCATATTGTTACAATGGATTTTTGTGCGACGTGCATCCTCCATTTATGCATGAAGTAATTACACTTACCCTATTCCGTCCTTAATCTGTTGAGTATCGTCCATTCTACTCTTAGGAGATCAAAGCCAGAGACTCTATATGTAGGATCTTCTATTAAGTGTTTATTGCATATTTTGCTGTCTATCCATCTGTAGCATCTTATGAATGGGGTGGTTATGGCAATAAGAAGTTGTATGGGTGGGAATGCAAATAACTATTGACTTCTAGCGTTAAATGAAGGAATGTAATGGAAGTATATCAAAGATAGGTCAGGAACATTTATGGATCCGTTAAGAAAGACATAAATAAAGTTGAAATTGGCATTGAAGCACTGGGTGAAGAGTGTATGCATTTTGAGTGCATTAAGGATAAGAGAATAAATATAGTAAATAAATATATAAATAAAAAATGTATGTATAAAAATTAAAAATAAATAAATTAATGTTTCATTTATTTATATTATATTTCTATAAATTTATTTTAAAATTCTGAGTGGAACGAAGAAGCTTATGGTTTTAAAAAGATGTTTATTTTTTATCATGAACCAGCAATTATTTCAGAGGATTTTAAGTGAATTTGATTTATTTAAAGTATACGGAGTTGAGGTAAGAATTTGAAAAATGATTTTAAAATAAAGTTTAAACGATTCCATAATAATGATTAGAAAAAACAGAAATCAAATTCATTTAAAATCCTCTGAGATAATTGCTGGTTCATGATAAAAAAAAATCACTCTATATATATATATATACATTTCTATTGGAAAATCAAAAATTACTTCCTCAAAGTGCCACCCCATTGGTATTTTCAGAAAAAGTGTTACACTTGAAAATCGAAGCAAAATTTCAGGTAGAAAAGTTGTGCATGTAAAAAAAAAAAGGAAAAAGAATTAACATCATTGTTAAACCAAAACATTCCTCGCTCCGCTCAGAATCCAAAAACAACTCATGATAATAATTAAAATTTTATTTTTATTTTTAAATTCAAAATTTTGATTAAAAAATCGATTATATTTCTACTATTTACCATCCAATAGAAAATTAGTTTTTATATGTAACTGTGAATAGGGAAGTTTAAAGGGTTATAGGATTAAAAAAAACAAATAGGACATAGACATTTCGAGTATATTTTTGTATATTCGTATACATATGAAATCGTATAGGATTAAGCATCTCACAAAAAGGACCAAAATATACCTTTAGTCTCCTTTACTGCTCACACCGGCCTCGGGCTCTTCCGGCATAAAAGTCAACCAATGTAGCTTTTGGATTCTTAGCGGAGCGAAGAATATATTGGTTTTACAATAATGTTTATTTTGTATTTTAGATTCTGAGTGGAGCGAAGAAGCTAATGGTTTTACAAAGATGTTTATTAATTTTTTTTTGTGAACAACTTTTCTACCAGAAATTTCGCTCCAACTTATAATGAAAGCAATTTTTCTTAAAGAAAATTTCACTGGGGAGTTACTATAGAGAGGTCGTTTTACAAATTTCCCAAGAGTTTCCCTGGCAAATGTGAAAAATCAGGTTACATCATGAAAAAACCGGGAAAATCGGTACAACATTAAACAAATATTATTAAAGAAAATATATAATTCCTATTTAATTATTTTACCATAATATAACATATATAGTTGACAAAACATCACTATCAACTAAACTGCGCTCAGAATCGTTTTTTCGTTAGCAATGGTTTATCGTTGCTTACAGATATACATTAAATTACCTATAACACTGGCTGCATCCGTCTCCATTATCCTAGAACGTCTTTTTTAAAGATTTTTACATAGGGATCCCACAAAAAAAATATTATTGTTTGGTGTTGCGTGAATTTAAAGTTTTAGAAACACTACTATAGTCTTTATAGTTATGGCCTTGGACACATACATAATTATGTATGTAACTCAATTGACAATTTTTTTTTTTTTGTAAAAGTCCAACGGAAGACGGTCACCACATCTTCAGATTCGTGACTTATTTAGAGTTTTGTAGTCGAATTTACCGGTTCGTTTAAGCTATCCGAAATTGTATAAAAAATTGCGTCTATGATGCGCG